AGGCGTGCACAGATTTATTTGCACCAGCAGGAAGGCAAGGTGATACGCGACGCAGAGGCCAATGGTAACAAAAGTTGCCCACCTGTAGGGACCCTTCGGAATGAAGCGGAGATATGAGAGAAGCAAGCTGATCTTGAATCCGAGAATACTGCTGATGTAGCTGAACTGGATGTTAGTTCTGATTATATCTTGACGAATCCTTCCCAAGGATTTGAGCACTTACAAAGGAGCGCCAGCGTATTGCAGAAGACCGAAGTTATAGAGATTTTGCGCTGGCATGTCCTCCAGCTTTTCGAGACCCAAGCCCCATTTTGTTTCTGCGGGTGGTTAGTAGACGCAAGACGAGTGGTGAAGATTGAAGATAAACGTACGAATAGTGCTGACGATTGCAAATCCGGCAGCCGCAAACCACGTTGCAAAGATGACCCAGTCATCTATAGCCGACAAGTTAGTGCTCTGTCCAAAGGCCAGATCATCCGACTTGCAAACGTACCTGAACCAGCGGCCTTGAGCATGATTACACGGACGTATAACCGCAGCATCATGATGATCAACGACAGCGCCGTAAACACCAACGCGATGGCCGTGATCTGGGGACCCGTGGACGGTGTCCCCGGCGGTGTGTTGTAGGTCCACGACTCGCTCATCGTGGGCTGAACTGTTGCGAATAACCTCCTTCGAAACCCGGTCGGTGAACGCGGTGAAGTCAAGCCCAGACAGACGTAAGGCTGATGGTCTGCGGGCGGACGTTGTTCGACGGGATGTGGTAAGACGGGAAGGACGTTGCCGATCTAACCGACGAGCCTAGATAGGAGACTAGGAGGAAAGGGACGAGTGGACAGAGGTGGCGGAGCCGACTGGCTTTAGACCGCTTTATCTGGACAGGAGCTCGTCGTTCATAACATCATTAGACTAGGCCTTTCAGCTAGTAACGTTCGTGCCAAGAAGGGAGGGGGAAGAGTGGAGGGAGTATCAATATACAAATAATATGCTCTTCCTTTCTGGCTTCTCTCCCTTTTCACATTTGCCTTTTTCCACATAGGCCCAACCTTATGGATTGGGTATCCTGTTCCGGTACCGAGCATCTGGGCCAGAAGGCATCCCCTGTCGGAGCAGGTAAAAGATATCACACTTGAAGTAACGGCCAAGCCGGGCTGCAAGCACGAACTTTGTGAGAGGTTCTAGTCCGGATGTGTGAGGTGGGTGGACTCTGGAGGGCTTGTCCTCCGGGCCTTGTCCCTCGGATCGTCTACAAGGTAACGTCCCCCTCTTGCCTCGTGCACTGCACGTTTGCGAGAAGCTCGGGGGAGCCACGAGGAAGTTGGGAACACATACGGGGTCAAACTCCGTACGAGGGCCATTGGAGCAGCAGAGCCACAGAGCTTCTTTCCTCCCCCCCGCCGGAAAGTGTGCCGATGTTGCATTTCAGGAGTGCTTTCTGGAGACGAACGTATCCATGCCTGCATCTTGCAAAACGCATCGGGTTTGCGACCAGTCACCTCGAACTTTCGCTGAGCCACCGGCCGGAGAAGCGTCTGGGCTTTCTCGCCAGACCTGGGATTCTAGAAGAGACGTGGTCGTCGGCGGCCCCCGTTCCCTGCTGGCCGTCCCCCTTGTTGGACGCATATACGGAGTTCCTGTGGTACACGCACACTATGCACGCGTACGGGCATTGTACGCGGCACTAATTAGCGCAGATCCAGGGATGATGGTCTTTCATAAGAGAACCAGTTGTTGGTCCCCTGACAGTCTGCCATACTGCCATATGTCGTAAAGCCCGTATTGTGGGAACCGCTGCCCGTGGATTCTTCATATTGTTGTGGAAGTTGAATCCCGAGCACGGAACCCATCCGAGGAAGAGAAATGAGCCGCAGTCTAAGCCAAACCCGAGGAGGTCCTTTATGTCACATGGCGTTACCGCGTATGATATATCACATTGGGGGCTAAAATGCCACAGTGGCAGAGGTGACAGCGGGAGATTTTGACAACTTGGCAAGCTAGCTTCAACTCGAATTTACGCAATTATCAAAATTCATGGACCAAGGAGTGGACCACGCAACAGCAATGTGGCCAGACTTGGTCCGTGTCGCGATGACAAGTCAGTGATGAATGTGACATGCGAGGATATCCCTGTCCGAGACACGCCGGTTCGGGCAATTTGCCATGTGCGGTAAAGCTCTGGACTCTGGTATCGACATGCTATCCTTATAAAAGCAGGTTGTCTCATCAAGCAAAGGTTTCTCCCTGAAGCAAACTTGTTTCCACGTATAGGGTCGTGTTTGCAATTAGCTACTAGCCAGCGATGTGCTGGATGGCCCTGAAGTGTTGTATCGACCAAGAAACCTTCTGTTATCGAGCCAAGACCTCGTCAAAACGAAGTCGACTGAGACTTTGAGAGTTCAAGTTGCTGTGCCACATTCCGACCACGTGGGTCTGATATGCCGACTTGGCCTGCAGAGTGTGCCTGCACATCCATGCAAGTTGTAACCATGTCTTCAAGCCCCCCCACCGATGAGAAATAAGTTCCAGAAGTTCTCAACGCCATCCCGCTTTTCAGGTGAGCGTGTGTGCTCGAGCGCAAAGCGGCACAGCAAGAAACAATCGTTCGTGACTTGAATTTCTGAAGAATACGCTTCAAGTCTCTAACCCCAAACTCCCCCGGAACCGTATCCGTACCCAGCCGGCCAGCCTTCTCGGGCATATGCGGAGACGAGAAATTTTGGCTTTGAGACGTCCGCGGGAACTGGAGAATGATCAGGAGAGGGAGGCGATCCGGGCACGAGGGAACCACTTGAAAAAGGAGAAAAGGGTCCTCTTCGTGACTCGGGCACGCTGACATCGAACAATTTTCCATTGTTCCACGCCCTACGGAAAATTCTTTCGGATCCGAACTTCCCTCTTGCCAAGGAACCAAACCAAGGGAGCAGCCACAATCTTAGCTCCCAGTTACCACACACACATTTCGGAGGAAGAAAAAAAACGTTGATCGGGACGGGACGTGAATGTCTGTGCTGTCCTGCCGCCGGCGTCGTGGTAGCTGACTGTTTGTTTGCTGCCCGCGCGTATGAGGCACTTTAATGCCGATTTTGCACAACGGCCGCCAATCCTTTTTCAATAGTGTTTCCTAGCACCGTTGATCTCAACTACTAGATGGACTGTTATGTCATGAGAACGTTCCAATAACGTTGATCCTATGACAGCACATGATCCAACTCAGCTGCACTGGAGTTTGGATGAACGTTGTGGTTCAACCACACCACTGTCTCATTCTTGAGTTCGTGAGACCCGAGGGGTGGGAGACCCTTGGACGAGATTCTTGGGGCGCACTCGGTAGTATTTGCAGACAATGTCGCAATCAGCCAAAGCTTCGCAACTCGCACCCTGTTCTCCGATCGAGCATGAACCACTTATCAAGATATTTATCAGACGTTACAGCGGCGGCCCAATTCCATGGACAGTTTGACAGCCCCTTGTTCTTCTATACGTTGCCTCGTACGATGCGGTTGCTACCGAATCTTGGAGGAACCGAGGAACTTCATCTCATCGGCGTCTGGCGAGTTCAGGTAAGACCGCCGCGAGGCCCCTGCAGTTGGCCCCCCCTTGGAAGTCTGAAGGATGCGTGGGTCTGCTTGATCGATCCTCTTTTCTTACCAAGGATCTGGTGGCGAGCCCCCAATCGGGCCGGGGTTCGATAGACTTTGCTGAAGAACCCCCGCAGCTTCAATTTCCGGCCCAGGTTGCGCCCGATTATTGAAGATTCCTCAAAAACGCCGAGGAGAAGTCCGGGATATTGTCCAGTCCAGTAACCACCAGTTGGATCAGAGGTTGGTTAGTAACCAGCAACCAGACGTTACGAGATTCCGAACCGAACCGCACCAACGACAGGCCGGCCCTGGATATGAGCATCGACAGCATCGTCATTCTTGCGTCGATGGTAGCACCATCTCAACAGCCGGTTTCTGCCCATCGTCTCAGAGCATAAGCGAACTGCACTCTGCAAGGAACGATGCGTGATTCTGCAGCAATTTGGAGTTGTTGGACGAGGGATTCGTCAGGGTTGCTGCCGGGAGCACTGCACCCTTTGATCTGCGAGCCACACTCGAGTCCCCGCTGAACAAGACTTTGGAAGAGCGAACAACCTGACCGCGTGGAGCCCGGCCGTGCAAGCCTGACCCGGCCTTGGCCATGTATTGGAAGGCAGCGAACCACGGAGCCCTCGTTGCCCGGATCTTCATCGCCTTGCGAAGTCGTGGGAGCCGGGATCGTGAGAGAGAGCAGGCCGCCAGAAGCGACAACGAGAAAGTCGAATGGAGCTTCAAGCGGAGATAGGTATCAGGATGTCCGGCGTCGACTGTCGAGTCTCGCACTCCGGTCTCCAGTCTCCAGAATCGATGACCGTCCTGGCCACTAGTGGCCGATAGACCGAGGCACCCGGCATCCCTGGTGTCCGGCCGATATCTAGGACGATATCGACCTCGTCTCCCGCTCCACAGCCCGCAACGCTTTACCGCCCCTGGCCAAGGATGGCAGGGGAACAAGAGGGAACCAGCCACAAACGGCACTGCATGAGAATCGACCCTAGGGCTTCTTCCCGATATTGTTCCCTTCTCGAATGATAGCAACACGGATTCATCAGCAACAGGTAACAAGTGCGGCAAACTTCCACTAGTTTGAGGGGGCGAAGTCCGCCTTCTATAGGACCCCAAATCTCGGTCGAAACCCCAGTCGGGAAGCGTCCACCCTGTCGAGATGGACTCTCCAAACCCCCATGCCGTGGTCCCGGAGGTCGGGTAGGACACTTCCTGCAGCATACTAAAAGTAATGCCCATGGCCACCGGTAGGAAAAACTTTCTTTTGATGAAATGGTCCAGCGGCGTTTCCCTCTCTTTTCCTCTGCCCCCTCCCCCCGCCCTCTCTCCCTCCAGCCGTCGATCTTTGTCTCACATTGCGCTGCCATTGCCTTTGCCCTTTCAAACCAGGTCAAAGTAAAGTAGTCCAAGATGAAGAGCTTTGTCCTCCAAGCGGCCCTCGCCGGCGCGGCCCTCGCTGCTCCGAACCACCGAATCGGCACCGCCTTCACTGAGCGCGCCGCCGGTGACTGCAAGTGTTTCCCCGGCGATGCTTGCTGGCCTGCCACGGCGCAGTGGGATGCCCTCAACACCACTGTTGGCGGCAACCTGATCGCGACTGTACCTCTTGGCGCGCCATGCCACGACCCCGTCTACGATGCGGCCACCTGCGCTACTCTGCAGAGTGAATGGCAGGATGCGGAGATCCAGTAAGTGTCGATCCCAACTTCATGATATTGACGACATCAAGTGACTAACGATGATGTAGCATGGGATCCTCTTCCTCCATTATGGCTCCCTTCTTCGCCAACCAGAGCTGCGACCCCTTCCAACCGCAGTCTCGTGCTTGTACTCTGGGCAATTACGTCGTCTACGCCGTTGACGCCAAGACCCCCGAGCATATCGCGGCCACCATCTCCTTCGCAGCTCAGAACAACATTCGCTTCATTATCCGTAACACCGGCCATGACTACCTTGGTCGCTCCACCGGAGCCGGAGCCCTCTCCGTCTGGACTCACCATCTGACCAGCACCGAGGTTGTTGACTGGAACACCGCCTCCTACACCGGCAAGGCCATGAAGGTCGGTGCCGGTACCCAGGGCTTCGACGTTATGGAGGCTGCCCACAACGCCGGCCTTGCTGTTGTTGGTGGCGAGTGCCCTACCGTCGGTATTGCTGGAGGTTACACACAGGGCGGTGGCCACAGTGCTTTGTCCACTTCCTTCGGTCTTAGCGCCGATAACGTCCTGGAGTGGCAGGTTGTCATCGCCAACGGTACTCTCCTGACTGCTTCTCAGACCCAGAATGCTGATCTCTACTGGGCTCTCTCCGGCGGTGGCCCCGGTAACTGGGGTGTTGTCACCTCCATGACCGTCAAGGCTCACGCCGATGCCAAGTTCGGTGGTGCTACTCTCGTCATGATGGCTGCCGACAACGACAACACTGCATTCTTCAACGCCATCGATGCTTTCCACGAGGAGCTTGCCGGTATGGTCGACGGCGGCTCCATGGTCGTCTACTACTTCGCCGCCGGTTTCTTCCAGATCGCCCCCCTCAACGCGTACAACAAGACCGCCGCTGAGGTCAAGACCCTGCTCGCCCCCTTCGTCGCCCGTCTCGACGCTCTCAAGATGAACTACACCACTACCTACACCGAGTACGAGAGCTACTACAACCACTACGACAAGTACTTCGGCCCTCTGCCCATCGGTAACATTCAGGTCGGCATTGCCCAGTACGGCGGCCGCCTCATCCCCCGCGACAACATCACCAACATCGGCTCTTTCTCTCGCAGCGTGGCCGAGAAGGGCGTCACCTTCATCGGCGTCGGGACCGACGTTGGCAAGTTTGGCAACAAGGAGACCAACTCCGTTACCCCCGCCTGGCGCAACGCCCTCGTCCACGCCACCCTGACCACAGTTTGGAACTTCACCGCCCCCTGGGAGGAGATGATTGCCAACCAGGACCTCATGACCAACGTCGTTATGAAGGAGATTGAGGCGCTCACCCCCGCTGGTGGTGCCTACATGAACGAGGCCGACTTCCAGCAGCCCAACTTCCAGACCGAGTTCTTCGGCAGCAACTACAAGTCCCTCTTGTGCCTGAAGCAGAAGTGGGACCCTGAAGGATTCTTCTACGTTCGCAACGCCGTAGGCAGCGAGTCGTGGAGCGTTGCTGATAATGGAAGAATGTGCCGTGTTTGAGTCCCAGAAATACCCACAGTAATTGAATAAAACTTTCGCTTTTTTGTCAATGTCTTGCCTGAATCTCATCGGTGATCATACGCAATAATCGGCCAAACCTGACGTGTGAGTTAACTGCACTCAGTTTGAAGTACCAGGCTTGAAATTGGTTGCGTTCAGATAGCCAAGATACTATCGCCTAGCCATAGATACACCAAATGTGCAGTGATTGACATAGGTGAGACTCATGTCACCAAATCTTGGAACGCCTATCTTCTGTAGGGTGTGCGGAAAGCTTTTGGTTATATACTAGCACGATAATATCGATCTATCTACAGAGAAGGGTACATATGTTCGGGTCTGTCCTTTTGATGCCTTGAGAACCTCCAGCGGACCAGATTCGTTTAAGAAATAGGCTGGCAAGAGCCCCTCTCAAGCTTAGAAGAGCTCAAAAGCGAATGCGGTGGAGTTAGTAGGTGGCTCGACCAGGATAGTAAGCTGTAGGACGAGAAATCAGCATTACTATCAAGCATGAAGGTTGTCAATGTGGGATAAGGATAACTTACGCTGTCAGAAGCGGACGAAATGCTGGTAACACCCAAGTCAACCGGTCCTCCAACCTCAGCCTTGGTGCCAGCCCAGTCGAAACGCAGAGTGCGGACTTGGACGGAACCGTCGCTGGGAAGACCGAGCCTGCTGAGTCCAGAGACCTTGATCTCGTAGTTCTTCTGAACGGTCCTGGTTCCCGCGAGGATCTTGACGCTGTTGTTCTCAACGGTGGCAAAGACATCAAACGTCCGGTCAGCCGAGGCAGTGGTAGCGACGCGCTCGCCGGTCATCTGGGCGTAGTACTTGTACACCTGCCACTCTCCATTGGGCTTGTAGGCTCCGCTGGCATCCTTGAAGAGCAAGTCGGCCATCCAGTTGTGCAGGTCGGAACCGCCGCCCCAGTTGGCGCGGAGACCGCGGAGGTTGTGGCGTTCAAGTTGGGCGAGGTAGAAGACGCCATTGGCAGGGTTCTGCTCGGATGGCCAGGCGTACTCGTTCAAGTCGATTGGGCGGTCTGGGAGGTTGTAGGTGCTTTGGAGAGACTTGAAGTCGGCAACGGTTCTGTCGGGCTCACGCTGCCATTCACCAATTTGATGCCAGGAGTAGATGTCAGGAATGGCGTCATTGGCTGCCACCTTGGACATCCAAGCCTTCCAGTTATCCAAGTCAACGGCCGGGGCGTTGGCGGCTGATGGTCCGCTGATCAAAGTGCCCGGAAGTTCAGCCCTGAAGCTATGTTAGTTGACATCGAGGTGATGAATTTTGAGAGATTATCTAACCTGATGATCTTGTGAGCCCTGACATAGTACTCCAGGTACTGATCCCAAGATCGAGCCCAGAAGATGTCAAGATCAGGCTCATTCCAGATATCAAAGACAAGGCCGTCGAGCATGTTATTAGACTTGATGTCATCAACAAGATGGTGGAGGAAAAGCTCAGTCTCTGTCCAGTTGCCATTATCACCGGGGAAGATTGAGCCTCCTGCCTGGCCGCCGTCGGCACCCCAGAGGTCGTGGGGCAATAGGATGAAGTCAGCTCCGTACTTGCGCGTGGTCCGGTAGTTGGAGAGGGCCGAGTCGAAGCGCTGCTGGTATCCATCGATTCCGCCGATCCAACCGGGAGCTAGGATCTGGGCACCCCCGGCACGGCTGGCGTGGAACTTGATGTCGGTAACGAAGTGGTCGGGGATGGAGGTATCGATCTCTCTTCCGTTATCGGGGAACCCGTAGATGAAGCCGGAACCGAGGAACCTAGCCGGACCACTGGGATTCGCGATATCGACAGTTGCTGTGCCAGCGGGCGATTGTCTTACTGCCAGACCAGTAACATGGCCAGCTGTAAGAGCTGCAATGGCAGAGAAAGCCTTGAGAAAAGACATGTCGATGAAGGATTGGTTAAATGATGTCGTGTCAAGGTGAATTGGCTGATGATTGCATGCTTTCAATCATCTTTTCATCTACTAAACTTCCTACTATTATACTCACATCGCGATGCCTCGTCGCGATAAAAAGTCATTGTGAGTATGAGCCACCCCACCGGAGTAAACATCTCGACATATGTTTGCGCACGGCAGATCGGCGCATGTTGAGCGACGTTTGACGCTATCCTCCAATTCCCCGCATGCCAAGGTGAAGCTGCAAGAGCTCGTTCACAATTCGCGGGGAAGAGGCTAAGAGCGGGTGAGAACATCCATTATCAGCACGACGTTGATCCTCCTCCACCGGGAATTGCGACACTTCTGCGGGGTTCACCATAGGATCACAGACGGGGGAAAAAGCCCAGCCCGGAAGACGCGTCGCGTCTGCTACCGAATCTTTACTTGCCGCCATCGTGAATGCAGATCATCATTTACCGCAGCCATGCGAGATGATTACGGAGCTTCACATTTTGAACCCGATGCTAGGGTATTCAAGTCCATGGAAAGCATCAGGTGGTAAATTGCATCTAGAACCCCAATCTAGCTAATGGGTCAACTTACACCACTGGTACCAAGTGCCTTAGATGGCTTGAGTACTTGTTGTACGAAGGAAAGGAATTGAAGTGATAACACGATATCGCGACGGTACTAAACCCTAGAAACAAGAAGGAAGGAACTTAGGCTCTTGATCATAACTAAGTATTTAAGGCATGAGTTATTACTCGAGTGTTCTCGCTATGGCAAAACAATTTGACTTTTAGCTGCATTACTAAGTAGTGATTGATTCAGTAGTTTATATAGGATGGTATTCTCAAGTAACGTCGTGATAGTAACAACATCTATCTATTAGGTCCGACTGCGAAAGTAAAGATTCTTAACGAAGGTATGATTCCAAATGCCCTACTCTAGAAGGTCGGAATTAGTGGCGTAGACGAGACTTCAGCCTTCTTTGGCCAGGACTTCGTCGCCACTGGCATAAGCATCGACCCTGTAAGATGCGAACTTGGATGCCTTGACGCGCCTTGCAAAGAGAATGTCTAATTCCTCAAAGGTCTTGTCCTTCGTCTCAGGGAGACGGAAGAAAGTCCAAATGAAGAAGACAAAAGCGCAACCTCCCCAAAAGAATCCCGTCTTTCCTCTCCAGTCACCGGCCGTTGGGTTGAGCATGTAAGGGTTGATGACATTACAGACAATCTGAGCAATGTAGTAGGCAATGCGGCTGAGGCAAACACTCTTGTTGCGGAGACGAGTCGAGGAAACCTCGGAGATGATGGCATAACAGATAGGTCCCACGGTGAGATAGTAGACACCGAGCCAACCCAGCATCATGCCAGCCTGAGCGTAGTTCGCACCATCCGAGTTAGGAGCGCCGGCGCTGATGGCACCGACGACGAGAAGGATCAGAGCCAATGCTCCAAGACCCCATAGATATAGCGTGCGACGACCAAAACGACCAAGAAGTCCCCATGACACAATGGTACCGACAGAGGCAATCCCGAGGCCACCAACTGACATACGAAACGAGATCGACTCTGGCAAGCCGGCTTGGACGAAGAAGTAGGTGGGAGTACCTCCCATAGCGGAGCCGCAGAAAGGCTGTGCAGCAAATGCCATGCAGGCGATCTCGGTTCTCCGGAGGTCAACGCCGCGGAAGCAATCGAGATACGAGGTTCCTTCGTCCATCTGCTGCTCAATCTCGTTGGTATGAATCATCATGGCTACTTTCTGCTTCGAGTTGACGGCTTCGGACGCGGATCCGAGACGGAGGACAGACTTCTCGGCTTGCTCGAAATCGCCGAGGCGGACAAAATGCCATGGGGACTCGGGCGCGAACCACAAGACGGCGAAAAGCGGAAGCGGCCAGACCCATTGAATCGCAAACGGCACGCGGTAGGACCACTGGTTGCTGCCATCGGAGAACCCTGCTTGAACACCGGCTGAAATCAGCTGGCCGAGGGCCCAGCAGAGGTTGACAAAGACGGTGAGGTAGCCGCGCAGTGCCATCGGGCAGACTTCGGAGGCGTAAGCTGGAGCGGTTGTCGCGAAGACGCCCCAGGGGATACCGCAGAGGAATTGGCCGACGAGGAGGACGGGGAGGTTCGGCGAGAAGAAGGAGATGAAGATAAAGGCGACGATGCTAGCCAAGGACGCGAGAAGAACCTTTCGGTACCCGAAGCGATGGGTGAAGTATCCATTTGCGAAAGCGCCGATAATTGTACCGACACTGACCGCATTGCTCAACCCATTCTGCCAGGATGCCGTGATCTCGTACGTGCCCTTGCTGGGGAGATACTCGCCGTAGTGTCGTTTGAAAGCGGGCTGAGCAAAGAAGGACGAGATGAGGACGATGTCGTAGCCTTCCATGATGATGGCGGCGGAGACGAGGACAGACCACATGGCAGCCTTAGGATAGCGGCGGATAGCCTCCATGAAGCCAAGCTTGTGCTCGTCGTCTGCGGCCTGCTTGGCCATGGCCAAGTCTTTGATAGCATAGTCTCCGGTGGGAGCATGCTCGAGCTGACCGATCTCGAGCGGCTCTTCTTTGGTGGTGCCCATTGTGGCGGCTAATGAATGACTTGATTCTGAAACCGAAGGTAAATGGCAGACAACGAGAGTTGGTGATAGCTTCGAACTTTCAGCAACGTGTTACAGTACAAGTATCAGCGTCGTCGTGAAGATGATCGACAAGCGAGGTTCGGAGATGGTGGAGAATCTAGACATGATATAGAGACGCATGTAACGCCAGCAGGATATTGTTTCCGGTCACTGTCAGCTTCGTAGGGACGGTATCCCACAGCGTGGAATACACGATGTCCCCGCATGTTGTCAGTCGAAGATCCGGGGTAACATGCGGAGAAAGAGTTTGTGGTCATTAGCCTTCCCGGCACAAAGGGGACGTCGTGCCATCTGATGGCTTGTTTGGGTAATTGTCTTTGCCATTTATGGCATGATGTCTCCACCCCCGCCGGAGTTTCCAAACTTCTCACTAGAATAACCACCCGATCCATGGCTATACCGGGCAGACAACTCCGGTGGAGAGTCCATCGCCCGCTCCCGAGAAAGGATAGCCTAGTCCGAGGTGGACTGAACAAGCGAGCCCAGGAGATCGGCGTATGTTCGTTCCACTCCCCAGACCGAGTATCCCCTGCCATTCTCGCTTGTACCTCCGCTCCCGACGCTACTTGCTGCGTCTCCGTTCTGCTCCGGTCTCCCCTTGAGCATCTGTATCCCTTCTCTGAGAATCTTCCGAGGGGCCCCATCATTGCAGATATCTCCCACCTTGGCCATGTGGCCCGCCATCTTATGGCCTAGCCTCACATAAGTCTGCACCATCTCGTCGTCACATGGCCGGTCGAGGTGGAGGAAGCTGGGCTCCGGGTCCTCTTCAACTTCCGCCACTGCCTCTATCGGGCTATCTTGCTGGCCAGGGCCGTCACTGGCCAAGTGAGACCTCGGGTTCTGGTGCCGCCTCATGAACAGCATCATTGTACTGTACGCCCAAACCACCAATGTTGCAGCGAATATGCCAAAGGGCTCGAGAAAGTTGCCCACACTATAACGACGGATGTGCCAAAGCATCGCTCCGGCATGAACGACCGATAGTCTGGCTTTGTACTGATCACGCAGAGCCCACTGGGCGACGAGAGATCTCGCCTTTTCGACTTTGGAATTGTCGACGTTGCGGGAGGATGCTCGCGCCGAGGCGGCAGCAGCTAGTGTCTGTAGGTGGGTTATCGGAGCGAGAAGGACGAGGCGAGAGAGGTGGAGATGTAAGATGACGGGATGCTCCCATCCACCGGCTTTGGCGATGATAGCGTTAGCGTTCCAGTGGAGGAGGTCGAGAGAGTCGCAGGCGCTGTTCCGCCACCTTGATAGGATAGGCAGCGAAGGGGGCCAAGTCTCTTCGACGGTATCGCCAGGACCACACTTCTGGACGTCGGCTGTCGGCGTCCATGAATTGAGCCTGATCTGGTTGTGGTAGATAGCTTCCTTCGTACGCCTGATGATAGCGTACGTGAGCACCATGGTGCTAAAGTCACCCAGGTTCGGTGGCAGCCTCTTCTCCATGTAAAGCATTTCCATGGCCTCAGGTATAGTCACTAGGGGACCCTCAATGTGTGAGCCTAAATGGTGCCCTGATGATTTTGGTGGGTAGAGTTACACACCTGGCTTAGATTGTTGCTGTCCCGGTTTCTTAGCAGTAGGTTGGTCCCAGATAGAATCAAGACAGGGCATCTGGCCTTTTGCATCGCCTAGCTTGAGCAATACATCTTGACCTCTCTCTAGGAATACAATAACATCGAGGATCTAGAACACGGATGCCACGTCAGTCTATGGGCTCTGTGAAGCAAAGTTGGCGGGTTGCACGTACCCATATCATGAGACCCGTTCTCAGTCTGGACTCACTGTCCAACCACCTCCTATGAGCGCTTGATCCATCCGCGTGTTGCGCTGACTGTGGCAAGTCTTCTCGTATACCTAGTAAGTCCATCTTCCGACAGGCATTGATCAAGAAGTGCCGTACTAGGAATGCCAAATCGTAGCGATCGCCGCGGACACCGTTGTGCAGGTCGTATATCAACCAGAGGATAGACATTTGAGCGATGACTAGACCCATTGAATCTTCCCCGGGGCTTATCAGTGACACTTGAGAAGATCCTGCCACATCATCACCCGTTGAAATGTAAAATCGCACAGCGCTTTCCAAAAATTGAAGAAACAGGTTTCTGAAGCCGAGATTGATCTCGCCTCGGGAGTAGACCGAGCCAATTGTACAGACGGCCAACAAAAGAGGCCAATTCGCCGGCTCATGGTAGAAGTCGGTTGGTTTCTGCAGGAAGTTATAAGCGGGGTGGAAATGTTGAAAGTACAATCGGAAATAAACTCGAGCGTGAGCTATGGATGGAAGCGGTGTCGCGCTGCGGCCTTGAAGAAAAGGTTCGACGCTGATGTGTTGCAGAAGGTTATCGTAGGCCTGTACAGATAGATCAAGCCCTGTCCCTTCATCAGCTTCTTTGGAGGTGCCTGGAATCGCTGTGCTGGGTGTCGGAGTGTCATCATCGGGCCTCGCTGCATTATCTAATACTAGACTTCTTTGCGATGGGCGACCTTTAAAGGGTGCCCTAGATGGGGCACCATCGACATAGTAAGTCGCCGTGGTGGATGATGATTCAACGGATCCAGTCGTGCTTCCGTTGGGTCTACTCCTGGGCGTTGTCCCTGGTGGATTGAGCTGATGTGCTGATGCTGGTGGAAGTGCGGCATTCGAAGTCTCGACTGGCTCACTGTTGAGGAGGTTCAGCCAGGGCCCTTGTCGTACGGCCTCATAGGCATTCATGACGGTTTGTACGCCGTCTAGGTTAGCCGAGAAGGCATCTCTCTCGTTCACAGAAGACATGATGCCCCAATCAAAATCTGAATAATATTGAGGAGAAAGCCAGTTGATGGCCGAAATACCAGCAGATTGCTCGGGAAATTCCTCGTTCTGAATGAAGTTGTCTATGGGATTCATCCCATAACCTACTTCGCAGTTGTTTACTGGGAAAGTCTGATCGTTGTCTCCTGGGACTTGCGGAAGAGTCCACGAGGTTTCGACTGCGCGCCTTTCTGACGCGTGATTCGGAGTCGGGAATGGTATCTCGGCCATCCCTGGAGGTTGTGGAACTTGTGCTGGGTCGGCATACTCCATGACCTCTCCCTGACTATCATGTCTGTCTCCGGGAGCAGTAATTTCATCCGGAGACCGTACTGCTGTACGAGGACCTCGGCGGCGGCCAGCTGGATATTTGCACTCGAGACCTTTACCCGTACAGCGACGACAGGGGCTCTCTTTTGAGCAGCGTGAACGGCTTACAGCGCAAGCCTGACATGCCCTGGAAGATGCCACAGGCCGCCGAGACTCGCTTGCGACCTCATCATGAGAGGTCGCATGACGAGTGAGAACATCTCTATACTTGCATTAGTGCATGAGATTAGTGAGAAAATAATGAGAACGTACAATCGGGAGAAGCTCTTGCCGCATGCCGAGCATGAAAAAGGCTTTTCTCTCGTGTGCGATCGCTTGTGCCGAGTGAGATGCTCCTGGCGGCCAAAGGTGCTCCCACAGTAATCGCATTTGAACACTGGAGCATCAACCGTTGGATTTGCGACCGCGATGACTTCCTCGCTATCAGACGTTGAGCCTGTCCGCTCGTTGCCGGTCTGTTCCGTCTCTGCCATTATGCTTTCATCTTACTTATGAACTAGACACAGTGTCATGTTCAGCGAGTGAGCGCATCATGCTGGATCACTGAGAGCGATGGAAAGAGAAAAGGAATGAGCATCGAAACCTGCTGATTAGTGTCGTATTATTTGAAAATAAGGCGGGGAGCATGCACTAAAGACAATTGGGCTCAGTGGCGTGTTTACCCCGAGGAACGCGAGATGAGATGAGTTCCGCGGTGACTAGCCGCACGCGGGGTAAGGAGGAACACCGTTCATTTGAGCGGCATATGACCCCTGTAGCTTATGCCGTTTCTCTTACTATTCCGCTGTAACTCGCCAAAAACGTGGTGGCCAAGAGGAAGACAGCCCCGAATGCGACGTTGAATTTTGACCTTGTCAGTTTTAGCATCAGTACTCGGCGTCTCGAGTCTCTATTCAACTAAGAAGATCTATCCTACTTTGTTCTGTGCAGAACGACTTCTGCCTTTGACTTTCTAACAAACACTGGCATCCAGTCTAGAGGGCACTCGATCTCAATCTCCTGTCCGCCCTCAAAGTCTTGCCCCTCAGAGCCCTCGTGAGGAAGAGTTGTCCATCGCTCTCCACCATCCAACTTCGGCAGATAGACTTTGGCCTTGGTGATGCCGGGATTGACAATGGGGCAGCAAAGATAGGCATCGCCATACATGTACTGCTCGGCCCCAAGCTGCCAGCACCTCTCATCTCCCGGGAACTCGTAGAACAGCGATCGGATCACAGGCGACCCATGTTCGTGGGCCTCAGCCATCAGCCTCCGCGTGTAGTCTCTCAACTTTTCGCGGATGAAGAGATACTTTTGGCAGATGTCATACACCGCCGGGCCGTACGACCAGACCTCGTTGGTCGCTCCACTGCTCGAAGCCAAGCCGCCCGGCTTCGGTTCTCGGTCGCCGTGCAGTCTCATCACGGGGCAGAACGCGCCCCATTGGAACCACCGCACAAAGAGCTCACGGAAGGCCTCGTCTTCGGGGTTGCCGCCGTGGAATCCTCCAATGTCGGTCGTCCACCAGGGCAATCCTGCAATACCCATGTTCAGTCCGGCTGCCAGCTGATTACGGAAGCTGCCCCACGAGGACGCGATATCGCCGCTCCAGACGAGCGCGCCGTACTTTTGACTTCCGGCCCATGCGCAGCGTAGCAAGTTGACGATATTCTTCTGGCCGGCCTCCTTCTGACCGTCGAAAAACGTTCGGGCGTATTCTTTGGGATAGATATTGCCGACGGAAAGGTTCGGGCCGAGGAAGTAGCGGTAATTTTCAAAGTCGTAGACGGAATACTCTGGCTCGGCTTGGTCAAGCCAGAATGTCTTGATGCCCTTTGAGAAGTAGTTCTGCTTGACCTTGTTCCAGACGTACTTACGAGCCCCCGGGTTGGTGGGATCGTAGTACACGGTAGAACCTTCGAACTCAAAGTTGGTGCGGACACCTCTCTCGGTGCGGACGAGGAATCCTTGCTCGAGCATCTCTTGGAAGTTTGACGATCTTTGATCCACTGTTGGCCAGATTGAGACCATGAGCTCAACGTTCAACTCGCGGAGCTCTTGGATCATGGCATCTAGACTTCGAATTAGTTGCTGTGAAACACATGGAAGGCCAGTGAGCTGTCCTTACCTGGATCGGGCCAATATTGAGGGTCAAACTTCCACTCGCCTTGCAACGGCCAGTGGAAGAAGTCGATAACGATGAGATCGAGGGGAAGTTCCCGACGGCGGTATTCCCTGGCGACCTCAAGAAGCTCCTCTTGGGTCTCGTACCGGAGTTTACACTGCCAGAAGCCCAGGCCGTGTTCTGGCATCATGGGAGCTTTGCCAGTCACATTTGCGTAACGCTGCACGATATCGGCGGGTGTGTCGCCGACCACGACCCAGTAATCCAGAATGTTGGTAGAGTACGCCTCAAAGGCAGTCGTATTCTTTCCAAACACAACGCGGCCGATGGAGGGATTGTTCCAAAGGATCCCGTAGCCTAGAGAAGACAACGCGAAGGGCACACTGGCCTGCGAGTTACGGTGTGCCAGCTCGAGGTCGAGGCCCTTGAGGTCCAGGAAGGGTTGCTGATACTGTCCCATCCCAAATATCTTTTCGTCAGGTCGCTGGCTCTCCAAGCGCATTGTGAGGTGATAGTCGCCGCCCCGAAGAGGTTTGAACTCGCGGGCCTCGACCTCAATGGCGCTGCATTTGGCGTCGAGCAGGTCGCGACGGTTCCGGGCGTACTCTTCGAGGACGACGACATCGTCGGCGTTGTAGATGGTAATCTTTCCCCGCTTGCTCACGAATGCCTTTGCCTTCCCGTTTTGTATGCTGGCTGAGCCATCTTCGGCGAGTGAGATCTCTGATTTGACCTGCTTTGGCTCTTCTTCTAATGCCCATGCCTCAGCGGGCATCACATGAGCCTTGGTAGCTCGGACTCGGAAGGCATCTGGACCCCATGGCTGGATCCACACTTGTTCCCCATCATATTGATAGATCAGAAGGCCGTCCTTGTGGTGAATCATGGCGGATATTGCGACTGGTTTCCTGATGAGATGGACGCGCCCTAGAACCAGAGGTAACAATTGATCAAGAACTGGTAGATGACCAGAGAACACGAAAGCTCGAGGTCAATGAAAAGCCAGAGATAAGAACCTCCTCACAAGCTTCGATTTATCGTTCCATCCGGAAACTCATCGGTGGTCCTCCTCCAACAGACTTCACGCCGGCGCCTGATCATCGGCGACAAGAACATCCGTTCTCATGATGACCCAATTATTGGAAGCTTCTCCACCGGAGTTCGTCGAGTCGACGGGCCAGCGGGGTTACTGAAGTTAAGGTTGCGCTTTCACCACGAAGAATCACTAGGCCGACTGGGTTCGTCAGTCTTGTGACCCCGCCGGAGCAAGGCAGGCTCGAGCTCCGGTGGGGAGACGAACCCCGCGATTCTCCAGAGAACTAAACCGGGTAGGCAATACCGGCAGATATCTTTCAGACCAGGACAAGCCAGAAATTTCAATTGTACCTCAGAAGTTGGTCCAAATTGATGACTAGCTCGCAAACGAGTGTCCTTGGTTCCATATCCATCCCTGATCCTGTCTCCCGAAACAACTCTCAGTGAGGTACTCGCTGAACTCCACCGGGTCTCCCTCCCCGACACCGTTGATATCATACATCATGACTAAAACTAAGGTTAGCTAAAGAAATCTCTTTGGGGGACTTGGCCTTACTCTGCTCGAATTCCGAGAGCGCTTGTGTTATGATTGGGTCCTCGCTGAAGCTTAGGCTCGCTGTGGCATCCTCTACCAAGTCAGCCGCCGGCAGACTTTGCTGTAGTGCGATCTGGTTGATGTTGCTGTTTGAGTCTATGGGAAGCCTGTTGGGACTCTGGCCAGTGACTTCAATGGCATTCAGGCTAGCCCTTGTTTCGATGTCTCTTCTATTTTGGTCGGTTTCTGTTTGCGGGGGAATATCCAAGTGAAGCATTCTTTCCATCTCCTTAGTCATGACTAGTTTCATCAGTTTCGTGAGAATGTTCAGTCCCTGCTCGGCGACAACAGACTTGGACTTGAGTTGAGAATGCATCTCCATCAATTTTCGAAGGCCCATTTTGGAGTCATAGGCCTCCCGGCTCAATGGGTCCAGTCCCGTCATGATGGAGAGCGTAACACCGGCAGTAAACAGATGTAGCGCGACAAATGACAACGCGTATGTGTCAATCACCTCTTTGAAGTGCGGCGTGCAGCCAATGTTGGCAATCTGCAAGGCCGCGTCTCGGCAACTTCGCACCGAGCGCTGGAGCGGATCATTCTCTCCGATTGAACGGAAATCCGAACCCTCGGTCGTATTGATCTTCTTCATCGCTTTGTAGGCTAGTAAGGGCCTGTGGACCAGTATTCTAGCGTTCTCGTATGCGAGTTTGAGTGCCAGTCCCTGGATGCGGAAAGTGTGCTGGTGATGTTCCGGCCTCAGAGAATGATTGGCGCCCCCGAGCCAGTCAGCTGCGATTGCAACCTCATCTTCTTTGAAGACCAACTCTTGCGGAAGATGGTCGTGCCACTGACGGATCTGTTGGTCCAAGCTAGTGACTGTATTTATGAGACGCTGAACTAATGGACCTTCGGGTCTGGCACCGAGCTCGTTGCTGTTGGGCTGCTTCCGGTTTCCGTAGAGCTCCGACAGCGCCCTTTTCACAATAATCGACAGCTGTGCCATCGACACCTTGTATGAGAGTACAGTAGCTTTTCCGGTCGACTTCCATCTTATGGACTCCCAAGACGCATCTTTTGATCGCAAAGGATATTGTTCGGGTACTTCGACGTTGCAATCCTCGTCAACGATGCTGAGAGGAAAGCCATACAGCATCGAGCAGAAGGTCTCAATCTCATAGATAGCCCACCAGCATCTTTTGCGTGTCTCAGCTGCCCTGTGGATCGGGTTATCAACGTCGGGTACGGTTGAGGGCTCATCTTCATCTTTGTGTCGTTGATGAAGTTTGAGAGCTTGGGCGATACGCAAACCGCTTCCGCAAATGGGCCAGGCAAGCTCGGGTTCCCCGTGGTACAGATAGAAACTTCCTAACAAGATGCACATCTGCACAGCCTCGATGGATCCCAGGGAGACAACGTCGAGGAATCTCACCTTCAACGTCGCCAATATGTTTTCTTGCAATGAATCTGGATCAACGCCAAGTTCAACGAGTTGAGAGTGCTGCTCGGCGCTGGCGTAGCGGAGGCTAGTTAAGCAGACAGCAAGCACAAGACCAAGTATACCGGGATTCGCTTTTCTTGGTGGAGATCCCGGTGATGCAGTAGTATGAAGCTCTTGAACTCGGGCTCGAAACTCGCTTGTGAAGAATATCATCATGAACCAATGAATCTTCTCAAAGTAAATGTTGACAAGCACTGCCACAGGGGCTTGTGCTGGCAAGACGGAAAGAAAGTCTCTTTGGGCTGCGCTCATGGCCCCATGATGCCGTGAGATAGATCGGATACGCTGTTGGGAAAGGGGTCGAGCTAATGACGGGACGGAAGCACTGGCTTCTCTGGCGTCTTCATGGGTACCTCGCGAAGTCCACTCAGTAGCTGCGAAGGCGGAAGTATCTGCTTCGTCCGGCGTGTGTATGTCGTGGTGTTGGAATGCCTTGTTCAGGATCCAAGTCAGGTCTAAGTTCCATCGTAGTAGGGATCTTTGAGAATAATTACCTCGTCTAAGAAGCTGACCGCAGCCGAGTTTGTTGACCATGGTCTACTAGAGGTAACCTGTTCCGAAGATGCCCGAGGAGCGGGTGCGGGACTTGATTCATCGGGAAGTGACTGGCGTTCCGATGAAAGTATCAAGGGTGGCATGGTAGCCACCACGAGGGGAGAAGTGCTTTCCTCAGCGGTTTCCTCCGTTCCGGTTGCTCGACGGTCCCGTTTCGCTGGACGAGACCTGCCAATGCCTGGCACCCTGTCTCCCTTCCGAGTCCGTGACGGGGTGATGTTGGGCCCCTGGACCCTCCACACGCTAGGTTTATCATTGACGCAATTCACTCCGGCTCTGATACACAGAGTACAGGGACGTTGAGGATCGCACTGGTCAATTCCGTTAGATGATGTAAAACAACACTGCCGGGCTTGAAATAATGGGCACATAGGGTTGGGCAGCCTACCTTCAACTTTTGCTTTCGACAGCGTTGACATGCGGCTGCAACCTTTCTCCTCGGTCTATTCGACTCCATGGGCATTGTATCCTCCGACCTGTTCATTGCTGAAAGTGGGCTCGATTCGATGCGGAAAATGTTGTTGACGTGTAGATGTGAGTCGGAGGTTGTACGGGGCAGAACAGAAAGTTCCACCGGAAAGAAAGTCTCAAGTTAGCAAGACGCTAGACCCTTTACGGTAATTCATTCCGGTCAAGCATCTGACCAACACGCCGTTCCGAATATGTATCCAGCTAGCATTTCTACCCCAGCAAATGCAAGAACTTGGCAAAAATGGCTATTTATGATTATTCTCATTTTCTTATGAGAGCTCCGAGATACGGTAAATCCGTAGAGAAGACGTTGATAGTCGATGTTTGCACCCTTCAAGACATCTCAACGGACATGACTTTTGGCCAACAGGCTAACTTCCACTCGTCATGTGGATGAGGCAAACTATCGCCAGAGGAAGTTGTCCGATGACCTGAAAGGACTTACTTCAACATGACACGAAAGATGCTCAATTCAAAGTAGCTGAATACCTCTCTATTTAGCCTACATTTGTTCTTACATCAGGTGTAAGAAGTTGCTACACTATGGCGTGGCTCAGTAGCCTCCCACCGATGGCCCGCTGATGGGCTTAAACTCTACCTCAGTCGGCTGATCCGTGATTCCACGCGCAACTGCAGCCTCCATGATCCCAGCGGTAGCAGTGGCACCAATTCGGGTGACCCCAAGCGACATGACGTGAAGCAGATCATCCAGCGTCCGAATGCCTCCAGCAGCCTTTACTTGGACCTCGGGCTTCGAGTGCTCCCTCATAAGCTTCAGATGCGGAACAGTGGCTCCGTTGTAAGTGTACAAGCCATTGGGCTGCTTCACAAAGCCGTACCCAGTCGAGGTCTTGACGAATGCGACGCCAACATCGGAACAGATTTCGCACAGTCGGATAATGTGCTCCTCTTGGAGATAGTCGTTCTCAAAAATAACTTTGAGTATTGCGCCATGCTTGACGACGACATCGTTGATTTGGCGAATCTCTTCAGCAACATAGGTCCACTCGCCACCGAGAACTTTGCCGATATTGACGACCATGTCAATCTCTTTGCCACCGGCGGCAGCCGCCTGGTTGGCTTCAAAGACCTTGACTTCGGTGGTACTGTTACCGTGTGGGAAGCCGATGACAGGGCAGACCAGCACGCCGCTACCCTGGAGTTCCTTTTTGGCGAGCGGAATCAGATACGGCTTCACGCATGCCGTGGCAACGCCGTACTTCTTGGAGATGCGCAAGCCTTCTAGAATATCGGCGTCGGTCATGGTAGGGTGAAGTAGGGAGTGATCAATCATCTTGGCGACCTGCTGAAGGGTGACAGTGATGGTGTTGGTAGTTGGGGCGGCCATTTTTGTAGTCGAGTTGGATTCAAAGATCGAGATCAATGTTGGGAAAAGAGGTGCCAACGATGGAAGTTGAAAAGGAAGATGGCGATTGCGACAATAAGTAACAAAGACTAACCAGGTCGAGCTGTTGTCACGGATAGTATACAGACTTCCAGGAAATCTGAGCAGCAGTGTTTTATAGCCTTCAAAGAACGTTGCGAGTATGTAAATGTTCGAATGTAAGTTCCACAATTCGCTTTCCGCCGGAACGAGCCACCAAATCTGGCATCACCAGCTTAAGAGAGAAAATTTATGGACCTCATACCGAAGTGTACTTACCACGCGCTTTCGGGGTCGCCGCGGTGGCATAGCTTCAACTTCCGGTGGATTTGAATACCACTTTGGGCTCATGACGACACGCACTTCTTTCCATTGTGCCTTTGTCTGCTTCGTAGCCTTCCTTTC